AGTCAGTATATAGTTAATGCTATAGTATCCCTTGAAGATGCTGGTAGGATTTCCCCTTCCTCTACTGTTTTCTCTTTGTTTTCTACTATACAAAGTCTTATCTGGGACAGAAAAGATCCATTCTTCATAGGACATATCAGGGCTATACAGGATTGCCTGGAGCCCTTAGTTTGGGTAATGATTTAGCAGATAAAACTACACATGACATACATGTTTTTTCCTGTACTAGAAGAAGCTACAAATTTTCACAAATCCTTCCATGTCAATGCTAATACTTTACAAAAGCGTTTTAGAATAACTAAGGAATAAGCTAGACATATAATAAAACAATGTCAAAATTGTGTGACCTTTTTACCACAAGTTAATCTTGGAATTAATCCTAGAGGACTGATATCTAATCATATCTGGCAAATGGACATCACACATTTGCCAGAATTTGGAAAATTAAAATATTTGCATGTTACAGTTGATACTTCTTCCGGATATTTGATGGGCTCCCTTCATGCCGGAGAAAAAACTAAAGATATTATATCTCATTGTTTACAAAATTTTGCCACTGTGGGCATTCCAAAACAGTTAAAAACAGATAATGGCCCTGGCTATACTTCTGCTTCTTTTAAACAATTTTGCTCATCATTTGGCATTAGTCATATAACAGGCATCCCGTATAATCCACAGGGACAAGGCATAGTTGAAAGAGCCCATCAAACTATTAAAGTGTACTTATTAAAGCAAAAAGGGGGAATTGGGAAGGGATATATATCCCCCAAAGATAAACTTAACATAACCCTTTTTACTTTAAACTTTTTAAATTTGGATTCATCAGGGCTTAGTGCTGCGGAAAGGCACATGTGTCCAAAAAATGTACATAAGCCAAAGGTACTTTGGAAGGATATTCTAACTGGACAATGGAAAGGTCCTGACCCAGTGATTGTCTGGAGTCAGGGGTCTGTTTGTGTGTTTCCACAGGGAGAACAGCAGCTGATTTGGATTCCAGAGAGACCAACTAAAGTGATTTCTACAGATCGAAAAGAAGGTGATTTGGCTCAAATCCGTAACAGCTGATATCCAGAGCTCCAGCTTGGCTATTCTTACATCTGCGACAGTGATTCTCCCACACCTGGAGGCTAATGAATAATGAGCACTATTGAGGCCTATATCAAATGTAAAAAAACCTTGAGGCTTAATTGTGGGAATGCCTTCAAACCCATATGCCAGTTACAAGAAGAAGGATGGAATATCAAAAGAAGAGTCAAGCCCAAGTGGTAGCCAGGATGCTTTTTTCTATTTTATTTTTTGAGCTCATACAGACCTAGGTTAATGTATTTCTGATCAGTTTTAATTTTTGATCAACTATGGAGTTTTAAAATATTGCAATGGAGATTTCACCTGTGAAAAGCTACAAGGCCTCTACTATTGTGTAATGTGTGCACACTTGTGTTATGTGTTGTATGTCTGTATGTGTGTATGTCCATATTTCATATATGAGGAGCGCTCATGAAAAAATGGATCCAAATATTTTTTATTCACGTGATTTAGTTTAATTTAAATTGGGTATTGTTTTAAAAAGTGAACAAAAAAAGGAGGTTAACAGATCTGTTTGTTTACTTTCATCTTTCCTTTTCATTATATTTAATAATTTTTTTTCAGGATAATGTACTAAATTGTTCAGAAAATTGTTTTCTTAGTGCCTGCTGGAATGCTACACAATTTTCTTTAGCCATCATTGCCAGAATTCCTACCTTTAGACAAAAATAGAAGAATTTCCAGTATTACTGAAAAACAAATGAGACTTTGGAATTACAGCTACCATCATTACAGCTGTTGCTGTTTCTGCTGCTATTGCTGTAGCTTCTGCGATAGCTATCACACAAACTGTACAAACTGCTGCATCAATACTTCAAGAAGGAATAGACATATTAATGGATTCCTCTGCTTTAAGCTGCTTACAGAACTTACCTGGACCGTGTGTCACTTCTATGCATTATGAATCTATAGAGACAACAAATTGTAACTCTTAACAGTACCAGGGTATCTTTGCTGATGGTGTCATCGGTGGTACAGTTTTTCCAGGGGTTTCTCTCTTGGAGTCGTCAATGTCTTGGTATTGTGGCATTTTGTATCCTCCTTCTGCTTGTGGCAGGTTGTTTATGGTGTTTGTGTAAAAACCACTATGATCGTTATCCACAAGTATGGCTAAGTGTGTTGGGCTGGTAGTCAAAGACAGGTAAGATCCAATTACAATGGTACCGCCCTAAGCCAGGAGGCTGACAATTTGAGGTCAGACCATCCAATGATGGGTAAGGACCATATGTAGTATTGGATAACCTAAAACAGGCACAGTCCCTAAGCCACATACTTGTTGTTCAATAAAACAAAAGGAAGGAGATGTTGGGGACCTCGAATCAAGTCAAGATGGCGCCTGGCAGTTTGCCAGGAGGAGTGGTTTGTGAAGCAAGGCCACCGGGCCATTTAGATGGTGGGGATTCCTATTTGGCTGATTGCTGTATCTAGATGGTGCTAATTGAGTCAAGCTGTGTGTAATCAGTTAGGTATATATACCTCTGCTGTCCCGCAATAAAGCGGCTCCTGCTACCTTGGGTGCCTGATACCTTGAGTTCCCGCTCAGTTTCCGCTGAGTTTCCCCACAATAAAGCAGCTCCCGCTTCAACCTTCAAGTTGCTTGTCACCTCCCGGTTATTTTGCCCAGCCGGACTGTGGCAGAGACGGAAGGTCCAGGTGTTTCTGTTACTTCTCTGGTTCCAGCAACTGCCTTGTCAACTGTCCCCAGTGTCCTGTACCCCAGTTTCCCAAGCAACAGTGAACCTAAAAAACACACAAAATGATGCTGGTGTTAAGTAACACATCTGGGGACACCTCGTCTCACCAGCCAAATGTCATGTTTTTTCTATAAAATCAACCGATGATCAAGGGCACCGGCTTTGTCCCCCTTGCTTCCTGGGAATTGTTTTTAGGCCGCTCTCCATCTTTGACAACAAATGGGTGAGCAGATGCCTCCCTTTCTGATCTGTCCTTTTATCCTCCCCTACCCCAGCAAGCAATGTCGCCTTATCTTAATTAGCCAGTGTGGGGGGTTGGGATTTCCATGTCAATTTACTTGTCCACTGTGCTTGCTTTTTTGCTTCCCAGACTTGGTGTCACCTCCCCTGTCCACGTGGCCCTAATTGGGGACCCGTTGCTCGGATTGGCTGAACATGGATCGTTGTGAGGCGGTTTGGAAACACTGGCGAGTGGCTTCAAAATCACTGTGTTTGCATTAAAGGAGGTCTACGCAGTCTGCTGCTGTCATTTAGAGGGCATTTCTCTGACTCCAGGGTTTCACAGAGTGATTCTGTTGAAGATATTTTCATTTAAAAACTTTCATCTACCTCTGTCTCAGCCTATTCCATGCCTGCTCTGTCTTACCGGTTGTTGGGGAGGAACGTATTTTCTATGTAATGCTGTAGAAACATCCAGGCCTCTTTGTGGAGTGCCCTGCGTGAGGCCAGCACCACGGGAAGGTGGTCAGTGGGTGAGACGAGTCAATGCGGCCTGCAGGACGCCAGGGGACCGAGCACATCCGAGAACTGCGCAGATGACCTTTTAGTCAATTTTTACTTTTAATCATTGGAAGGTGGTGGTTTCCCAAACCTCAGCCCGTCTGGAGTGTGTTTCGGTTTGTCGCCTCAGTCTGGACGTCATGGTTTCCAGAGCGTTCTGTGTGGCCCGGGGTTTCTGGGTTGGGCTGGTAACACCTGACCTTGAGCTTCCTACCTGCCTTTTAGAAAACACTGCTCTCTCTCACCTCCCCCTCGCCATATTCTGTTTGATTGAAGAGGTCCATGTGTGTGTGGAAACACGTATTAAAGATGCACTTACAGGTATTTCTGTGGGTGTGGCGAGCCTCCCGAGAGGCGTGGGATTTCTTCCTCACTTGGCGGGGGCTGGCTCTGGCCTGTTGCCCCTGCTTGGTTTCTGCCCTGGTGAGCGTCTGTTGCTGTTCCTGCCATTCTGATGCCGGTGGGCTGCGAGAGGTCTGGTGTTCTAGTCTCCCGTATCACATGAGTTTGCGGGAGGTTACTCCTGTGCTCTGCAGAGAGGACAGTGTCCCTGGACTTCCAGTGCAGCACAGGCCTTTGGCATCAGGCAGGCGGGGGATGCTAGGGGACAGGTGCTGTGATGAGTAATTTCCATGTTTTTGAAAAGCGTAAGTTAGCTTTGCAGTGAGTAAAATTCACTTTTAAGAAGATTAAGAAGACACTGGTTTCCTGGTTTCCGGGCAGGACCACACCTTCTTGTGCTCTGACCCTGAGGGCGCAGTCCTGCCTGCCGCTGCCAGCTGTGAGGTCTGAGTGCTGGGGCACAGTGGGCAGTCTTAGGGGTTCAGGCCTGCTGCCCTCAGGCTCTCCCTCCAGCCTTGCCGCCCCTCCCCTCCTCTTCTTTGTTTTAAGGCCAAGTTTGTTGTCTTAAAAGTTCTGGGAACAACTGAGGTTTGGGCTTCCTGCAGACAGGCTTGCTCCTGAGCTCTTCCCACTTGAAGGCCTTACAAGGAATATTGTCCGTGTGCAGCCACTGCACCTGGCTTTCACACCCCTTCAGACTTGCCACCTGCCCTGCTTGCTGAGGCTGGCCACTGGCACTTGGGAGTGAGTGGGGACGGTGAACAGCAGAGCACACTTAGGAGTTGGGATGAACTGGGCGCTTGCAGCATTGAGAGCAGGCAAGTGGAGTAAGGCCTGGCCGGGGCAGACGCCATTCGTCAGCAGGCCCCTTACCCTGCCACTAGCCGGCTCTGACCCTGGGCTGGTCACTGAGCCCTCTGCCTGTGAATGACGAGGGGTGGCACTGCCACCTGGGCCTGCCGGCAGGAGGAGTGAGGGACTAGATGTGACCTGTTCCCTGTAGGCTCGTGGCAGGGCTGGCCTGTGTTGCTGTCGGGCCCTGCTCCTGCTGTCTGCCCTCACCCTCCCTGCCCAGGCTGGAGGGCGGGGGCTGTCTGAGGCGGACCTGCCCTGAACCCTCAGCACCTGCCCACAGATGCCCTCTGGCGGTTCGGGAAGCACACCAGAGCAGTTGCGCTGTGGCCCCCTCCCAGAAGCGCACCAGGGGGCCTGGGGCTGGGCCTCTGCTGGCAGCAAATGGCTTTGGGGAGTTTGGTCTCTTGCTCCCTTTGATCTTGAACCCTGCTTCCTAGCCCCTCCTGTCCGCTCTGGATACTTCCACGCAGCCCTTCAGCTTTGGTTCAGCCTCTGGTCAGGGACCCCCTGGGCGAATCTCCACCAGAAACAAACCCAAGGGTCGTGGGGGTCAGTCCCTTAAGGACGCCAGGGTGAGCTGCCCTAGGAGCCCTTCCAGCTCACTCCCTGCAGTTCCCTGCACGGTCAGGAGGTGGCAGCACGCCCTGTGCTCTGTTACTTCTTGACAGCGACACCAGGGGCTCCTTGGACGCTGAAGGTCACTGTGCACTGGAATAAACCAGGAAAGGCAGCGTCCACCCCAGGATCTGGGGGCAAAGGAACAAACAGCTTCAGCCTGCCCGTTTACACCGAGGAGAAACGCCCTTCCGTAGCGCAGCAAGTGTCCTGAAGGTGCTGATCCGTGGGGCGTGCGTGGGAGGCTCGGCTCCGGGCAGGCTGTAGGCCGAGGATGGCTGTGCAGCAGTGACCACACCACAGCCCTGGGCCACCCCAGGCCATCACAAGGCCCTGGAATCGCCTGGACTCTCTGACCTCCACTGGAAAGTAGACTGGTCATGTCTCTCCTGAAATTTACATTGAAACAAGTTGACTCTGGGATTCTGAGGTCTCGGTGCACCAGGAGCACGTGTGTGTTTGAGAAATTCACTCTGGAGATGTGTAAGTGTCTCCGTCGCCTGTGGGCTGCCCTGCTTCCGTCTTGGGGCCTTGGCCTACTCCAGTTGGTGCTTACACGCCTTCGCTGTGCCTCTGAGTCCCGTTTCAGTGCCTTGATCTTGTAATTCTGACGGCCAGAGCATGTGAACCTAGCAGAAAACGAAGCCCACCAAAACCCAGGCCCTGCCGCCCCCGGGGGCAGCCTGAGTCTGCTCCCCACGGAGCCGTGCCCAGGCAGACCTGCTCCCGGGGCCCTGCTTCACCCCATGTGTGCCCTCGGCTGGGCCAGATAAAGCCAGATCCAAGCAGTGGCCGCCCCTCCTTGCCTGACTGTGCCTCTCAGCACAGGGCCCCGAGGGCTGTGAGCGCCGGCCAGTTGTGGCACCCAGCACCCCAGCACCCAGGCAGGCTTGCGGCTGGTGGGGTGAGGGTGCGGGGCTGAGGGTGGCCCCCTTCTCACAGCAGGGAGAGCTCTAGAAGGTGGGGGCCGGGGTGGTGGGATCCGGGGAGCCTGTGAGAGCCGGGTGCTTTTGCTGCTTGTACTGCGACATGTGGTTTGGAAAATATTGTGAAAGACCCAAGAGGCCACCATGAGTCGGCGTGTTCCTGTGGTTGGTGTTTGCCTTGGGACACCCGAAGGCCAACCCCCTCATTTCACTTTAGTAGAAGTGATACACTGACTCAAATGTCCTGTCCTACTTAAGTGAGGGCTGGCGGGAGGAGGATGGAGCAGAGGCTAGGCTACCGCCTTCCTGGCCCTGCACTCTTGGCGTTTGGGGACAGGGCCCCTCTGTGGCAGGGACTGTCTGCTTGTTGTAGGGCATCAGTGTCTCTGGCTGCCACCCTCTGGATGCCAGTAGCACCCCTGCCATCCAGTGTGACTACCCAAAGTGTCTCCAGACATTGCCAAACATCAGCTGGGGGCAGCCACCCCGGTTGGGAAACAGCCGTAGGTGACGTCCAGTTTGCACTTCCGTCCATGGCACCCTGCACTGCACCCCGTCTCCTCTTCAGCCTCATGCCTCTGACGTAGATCCGCAAGGTCACGCGTGCCCACACCATGTCTTTCCCTCCTCTGCGCCGAGCCGCGTGCCCCTGTAAGAATGGGCACTGCTGCCTGTTCATTCCATGTGGACGGTAGTCCGGCTGCCAGCCAGGGCTGTTCTGGACGTTCTTGGACATGTCCTTGAGGGGCATGCTCAGGAGTGGACCAGCAAGGACTGGGACAGGCATGTGCTCAGCACAAGCAGACACTGTCACACCATGGTCCCAGTGTCCACTCCACCAAGCCATGGAGGGAGCCAGCCTGAGCCCTGGCAATTCCACAGGTGCTGCAGGGTCAGTGCAGAGTCCATGTGCGCTGAGCCCTGTTTATTGAAGGTCACTCTCAGGGACTTGAACTCACATAAGGACATGCTGGCTCTGACGGGCTTAGTTGTTTTTTAATACTGAGGATTGAGCCCAGAGACACCGTAGTCACGGAGCCACATCTCCAGCTCTTAGGTTTTTATTTTGAGGCAGGGACTCACTAAGTTGCTGAAGCTGGCCTTGAACTTGCAATCCTCCTGCCTCAGCCTCCTGAGTCACAAGGATTACAGGTGCACGCCACCACACCCAGCTTAGACTGCCAGTTTTGATAACAGTCTCTCCATTAATAAGTTATTGTCAAAAGGTAGTTCTGAACTGTAGTTCTCCATAGTTCTGAACTGTACGACATCCTTTGTCACTTGCAGTCAGGCACCACCCTGAACAGCTAAAGTCAGTCCATCTAAGTTCTTCCCAACGCTCACCAGGATCTTGGGATGGGGTGGGATGAGTCCAGGCATGAGTGAGGAAATGCGTGCCTGGTGGTGGCATTCAGAGTCACCGTACCTCGTCCCCCAGGCACGCCACCTCTCCCCTGGTTCTGCGATCACTGTTTCAGGAGCAGAACTGGAGGCGTTTCTGGAGGGGTGTGGGAGTGCGGGTGCAGCTGGCTCCGGCCGGCACCTGGCCTGCCAGCCCTGCGCTCCGCGGCTCACGGGCCAGGTGCCCGTTCCTTCTCAGTGTTCCCTGAGCTTCACCAGAAGGACCTGGGCTGATGCTCCGGCAGCCGCACCTCTGATTCCGCACCTCTGATTCCGCACCTGCTTGCCACCTTGGGAGCCACGCCCAAAGAGCAGGAGGGAAGGACTGAGGAGGCAGGCAGTGAGCACGCGCTCTGTCTTCCCATCTGTCCGTGCGTTCCCAGTTTTCTGCGGTGGGCGTTTCTCTCCTTGTAGGTCTGGTGACCTTGTCTGCTGCGTGCCCGAGGGTGGCGGGCCCAGGGTAGCTGCTTCAACCTCCCTCTCTGCCCCCATGAAGGGTTCCGGTTCTCTGAGGCCCACGGTTTGGCCCTGTTACAACCCGCGGCACTTATCTCGATTCCCATAACCCAGGAGCGATTTGCCAAGCGTACACCCCCGTGAGCTCAAGTGCTGGTTTGAGAATTAGCACCGAGGTTCAGTCACTTGCACCGAGATGCAAGGATCCGATTCCACGTTGGAAGCATGGGGAG